CTTGGTCCTACCATTTAAATTTCTGTGTTGGTTGTTTTGGTATTATTGCTTGTCTGCATACAATTTGATCTTCACAAACATCTTTCAAGTTAGGACTTTTGCCTCCATTTTGTTTTTTTCTCCATTCCTATATGGTTTCCCAAATGGTTGGAGACTGGCCAAAATGAAAGACTGAGCATATGTATTCTTCATCCACTGTTTATGAATGCGAACTTGGACTTCAGTTCTGTGAAGCTGAAGACAAGGGTTAGTATTTTTTTTTTTTTAATAGGAAGGATGGATTGATCTTGAAAAAGGTCACAGAGCTTTTTGAAAGCACATAGTGTTGAGGTCTTCATTGGCTCTGCATTTTAAAATCTCAAGACTGTAGTTCGCATTAACTTTTGGACCCATGAGAAGTAGAGTACCTGCTCGAGAAGAATGTCACTTAGGAATCACCTAGTCCAGTACTTTGACCTTGGAGTTGAGGAAATTGAACTCTAGAGAGGTTCAGTGTCAGGAGTGGAGTCTTGCAATTGCTTGGACTGGAAATCATACTCTGTCTGACATCAACTTTCTTCTGTGGGTGGCTGAACCCCCTTTCCCCTACCAGAAAGCGTAGCTCATTTTTTGTGAGGTCCTACATTAGCCACTGCCCCACTCTAAAGCATTAGTAACATACCTCATCTCAAATGTTTTAATACTGTATTAGAGTTCCTTGGATACTGAGTGGGGTTCTGACCTTTACCCCAACTACCTAAATGGGTGCATGCAATGCAAAACAATTTCAATAAAATATTTAAAAGTCTTGTGGGGCTGAGATGTAGTTCGTTGCTAGAGTGCTTGCCTTGATGTGCTAGCTTTGGGCTGGATCTCCAGCATTGAAAAAAAAAATCATTACATAGTTTTCCTCTTGTTTTTTTTTTTTTTTTTTTTTTTTTTTAAAAAAGGTTAATGCATATTAGTATTTTGGGGATTTGGTGCACGCATGTAATGTATCTTGATAATTTTCAATCCCATACCTTCTTTTTCTTCCCCTTTCCTGGTCCTTTTCCCTATCCCCTAAATCCACTGTGTAGCTTCCTATCACATTAATTCCATTCTGCTCTCACTCTCCAAGCGTCCTAGATGTTTCAAAGGCCAGCAAAACAAGCCACCCCCAGACAGCTTGTCACCTGACTGCTTGTTGCTGCAGTCCCCTAGCAGCCGGAAAGCTGCGGGGTTAAGCCTATAGGGTGACAATGCACTGATACGATCACTAAATATTTATTTGAAGTTGCTAACATTTTGTTGTGGTAAAAACCAAGAAAATCCCATTATATCATGATACCTGAGTGTAAGACAGAGAAAGTTGAAACTGGTAAACATTGTGATTTTTCATCTCCATGGTGCTGGGGTTGGTGTCATATTTCTTGTCTTTGGGGGATAAGACAATCAGTTTAAGTAAGAACACATTTTTAGCTCTTAACATGCTTTAAAAAATATCTTTTGAAAACATTTGCTTTAAAAACATGATGACCATTTTCTATGTGTACATAAAACTGCTTTACCAGTCTTTTCTTCTGCGATATATAAGTAAAAATGGAATACATCCTGTTCTGTTTTAGGGACCGATCTCTCTTTTCTTCCATTACAATATTTTTTCCCTCTGGAATCTCATCAAATTGGGTCGTGAGATAATGTGTTGCCATGGCAGAATCTAATTTTAAGTTTCTGTCTTCTTTGGAAGCCTTCAGTTGCTTTAAATCTTGAATATTCCGGCTTTCTACTTCTTTTATTCTTTATTTGTTACTGAGCATTTATGATCTCTTTGCTCTATTGCTAGTTGATCCCTGTGTTTCATCTGTTAAAGAGTTTTTACTAAAGTCTTAGATCACTTCAAGAAAAGTGTTTTACGTCTCCCTGCCGGGAGGGTATACACTTCAAAACAACAGTCATCTTCTTGGTTTTAGTGACATGAGAAAATATATTTGCATTTTCTTCTATTTGATGGCTATGAAACATATATTTTGTGCCGAGACCTTTACTTTTCAAAAATAGCAAGAAAGTTGGTAAAATGTTTATTTTTTAGACTCTAATCTCTGCTCCCTTTCTCAACTAAATTGTGTCATATAGTCTTTCAGGTTCAGAAAAATGCATGTAAACTGTATAGGTATAGCAATGATATTTCCTTTTTCTTCTTTCATTTGCAGTGCTAGGGTTGGAGTTCACGGCCTCGGGCATGCTAGACAAATGCTCTACCACTGAGCTTCATCCCCAGGCCATCGTAGCAGCGATCTTGCAATTACTCTGAAATCTCTACCAAGTCTACAGCACTGTACTGAGGGCCACTCTGTACGGCTGGCTGACGCTCCTGTTTGCCACATCCTTCCTATCTCTGGACACTTGTTCTTAGCTGCTCCTGTTCACACTGCTTCCTCTCCTTGCTCCTGGCATGCTGGCGTTCCTCAAGTTTCTTCAGCATCTTACCATTCTATGTCTCTGTTAGAAAGTCATAGATGCCTTTATGGTTTACACTTTGGTTTATTCATTCATTTGACAAATATTTATGGACTAACTAGTATGCACCCACCGCCTGCTGGATGGAAGGGCTGCTGACATCATTTTGCAGGTTCCGTTCTGCACAATCCCTAGATAATATCTTTCGCATTGTAGTTTTTATATCATCTTATTTATGCCCTGCACTTATGTCCACACCTATGTGTGTCTATGTTATATTAGCTGTTCTCAGTGGAGGTGATTTAACCCCACAGGGGATGTTGGACAATGTCTGGAGACAGTTTTTGTTCTGGGGAGCCACTGACTTCTGAAAGATGAAGACCAGGATGCTGCTAAGCAGCTTATGGTGCACAGGCCGCTCCTCACGGGAATGATCTGGTCCATGTGGGCAGTTGTGCGGGGCCGGAAACATGTATCTCTATCCGTACCCTTGAAGAATCTCCCCTTGAACTCCAGATCCATGTTTGTAATGTTCTGTCTGTGTCTCCACATGCACATTATTACACTTCTGAACCTATAACACTTCTAAAAACTCAAATACTGATGGTGCAGCCTCAACCTCCTGAAGCAGCCTCCTCCCAGGGAATGTGACCACGATCCACCTGACTGCCTCCAGCCTGCACAACTGCAGTCCCTTTGAACGGCGCTGTCAGGATGATGGGTGTGTCAGTGCTGCACAAGCAGCAAAACATCTCGCTCTCTTGATTTAAATTCATCAGTGATTCTCCAGGGACTCCAGATAATGGTTAAGCTTTCTGATATTTTGTGATCTGACTTCATTCTCATTTCCCATTAGGTTTTCCTAGTCCTTTATAATTTCAGCCACCTTGGCTACCTTGTAGTTTCCAACATGTGCTATTCTTTCATATGCCTCTTGGCCTTTGCATGTACAGAAATGATGTATCTAAGAGATGTGACCAACCTTCCTCAACTCAGGGCTTGAAATGCTTCCTCCTGACAGCTTTCCTGTTACTTGTACCTCCAGTCTCCCTGTTACGGTTGATACATTGTGTCAACTTGAAGAGTCTAGAAGCTTGACTAAATAACTCAGCAGTTCTACATCCTGTTGTGAAAAGGACATGCCCTTATGCTCTAGGGTGTTGTTCATTGTGTCAACTTGAGAAGTTTAGAAGGTTAACTGTGTGACTCAGCAGGGAGCCAAGGTCCTCGCTTTGTATTCATCCTAAGCCTGTGCAGGAGGAAGGCACTGAGATGGTGTGGGTGTGGGTGGACAGCTGGCATACAGTATAGGGGAGGGAGAGAGGCTTGCTCCCCTCTTTTTGCTCTTGCTGTCTTGTGCCTGCTTGAACTGTTGCCCCTGTGCCATGCCACCCTGCCTGGCAACCAGCTGATAATAGACTGAAACTTCCACAAGCTGTAAGCTAAATAAATCTTTCCTTCCTTAATTTTGGGCGTTGAGTTTTTTGTCTCAGCAGCTGGAGAAAAGTAACTAAGACACTCCCCAACCCTGGACTAGAGTGGGAGATACTCTTTTTTGCTTCTATGAAAACTCATGAATCCCCTTGTAGTTGGGGTTCCATATATCTGATTCTCCTACTGTAACAGTCATGCCATCCTGTGGCATTTACATTTCCTGTTTGCATTCTGCCAGGGAGACTGAGCTTTTTGGAGGCTACTGAGTCACATTTACCTCTCTAGTACCAGCATTTGTTTGGGGCTTTATACATAGTTGTTGATTCAAGGAAGGTCCACCTTCTCTCTTCCTAGTAGTAACTACCGATTGGCATTAAAAGATAACACACTTATTTAAAGAAATAGATTAGAGCCTGAATGTCTATTAATGGCAAAATAGTTGAATAAATTATGGTGTAACCATATTAAAAATATCTTGCAGCTATAATATGGGTTGGAATAATCCATAATAAACTAAAAAGAAGTCTGACACATTGTTCAGGGAGAAATGCATGAGAAAATCTTAGGACATGATATGGAGCTGTGCACGTGTTTGCATATGTGTGTGTGAACAAGAGTAGGGAAATATGAGCTACCTGCTAACACTGGTTATGTGAAAAATGCCTTATTATTACAACTCATAATTAATGTAGTAGTTAAAAGTAGGCAGTGAAACTCGGAAATTAACTTCAAGATCAGACATGGACCTGTAAACAAACAGTGAAGATAGAAGACACTGTAGAACATGATTACTTGAATGCCTGGGAAAATGTTTAAAGAATGACAATATCTTTTTTTGGTGTGTATCCATTAAATGCTGATATGTGCACAGAAATAAGTCTGCAAAGATTTAGAACAAAATGCTAACAGCAATCATTTCAGGATGGTGGATGATTTCTGTCTCCACTTCAAAACAATGAGCACACCTTATTTTCCTAAGAAGAAATGTTTTTCTAAAAATAGAAGATGGTCCATAAAAACTGGTACCATTAAACCATTCTCTGAATTCCTGAGACTTGAAAAAAAATCCCAAAGGGCATGAAGTTATTACAAAATAAATCCATTGGAAACAGCAGCTGCAATGTAACATTTTTATTCCTTTCTTTTAGCAAAGACTAAAGGAAGAGAAGGAAGCCAAGCGGGCTCATTTGGACGGCAGACATGATTACTTATTCGCAATTGTAGCTTCCTGTTTGGACCTGAACAAAAGTGAAGTGGAAGATGCAATTCTTGAGGGGAATCAGGTGCGGTGCATGTGAATTCCTGCTGAGTTGATTATGGAGAGTGCAGATGGCCTGAGGACCCTGTCCTGCACCTTAGAGTCTGTCTAAATGTGGGCAGAGCTCTGTTCTGACTGCCCCAGAAGCTGCAGAATGAGCTGGGGGTGGGCGAGGGAGGGTCTCCAGCTCTTGTTGCTGACGAGCACTACTTACAGTGTCATTTGAGTCCAGTACCTGCTCCTCTCTTCATCCAAAGAAGCAGGGCTCTTGTGGCATTTTGGAACCTGAGGCTGGGGAATGAAATATCCTCTCAAGCTGACTGGTGGATTGATTGATTTTGCATTTATCCTTTTTGTGGGCTTAGATACTGAATTATGCCATGATTTCTTCATTTGGGCTATACTTTGGCAGCTGAAGCTAGTTTCTTATTTGACTGTCATTTTCTGGTATAGTTTCTCTTCAAAACCTGGCGTGGGATTTACTTGGTGATTTGACCTTGATGGATAGGTCCAAAAATATGGGAAGACAGAGTTTCCAGGGCAGTCAGGAGGGCATATCAGGAGGCCTGTGACAATACCTGTTGCACTTTAAGAAAGACCAATTCAGCACTAGAAAGAGAAAGGAAAATAGGCAGGAGGGAATAAGGATGGAAGGAGAAAAGGAAAGAAGGTAGGAGGGAAAGGAGAGAGGGAGAGAGGAAGAAAGGGAGGAAAAAAGGAAAAAAGGGTTTTTTAACTGATAGGGTACCACACTGCTGGCCCTGTTTTTCAGTGATAAGCTTATAATTTTCTAAAAACCGGTTGTGAACAGAATGGCGGGCAGGATGGGGAGACACTAGATTGATGGGGTGCCAGTTTCTGTGGTGTACATACTTCTTCTGTGGTTGATCTAAACTATCACCACGCCCTGTGATGGACTGGACCCCATGAGGCAGTCAAGCAGACTCCAGCACATCTCTGCCTCTCTTTCTTCCTACCGAGCCCCTCTGGTGGGGCTAATGCAGTCAGAGGGAAGGTAAGGGTAGGTAACCCAACTTGAGAGCAAAGGACTTGTCCTCCTCCTCTAGCTCCTTCTCATCATTTATGGAATGTTTACTAGGTGTCAGGTCCTGTTCTAAGTCATTTAGTCTCTTATTTCATTTAATCTCTTGTTTAATCATCATAATACCAGGAGGTAGAAAATATTACTGCCAAAATAGAGAAAAGTAGAAAGAGACAGGGTTACATGGCCATGGGGAGATGCTCCAGAGGGGAAGTGCTTAAATTCACCCTACTTCCAAAGTCAGATGCCTGGTTTTAAGATAAAGCAGGTGGAATAAGTAGGCAAAAGCTCAAAACTGCAGGAAGCCCAAGTGGAGGAATCCCGCTATGACAAATTTGGGGCACAGGACCGTCAGAACCTGGAGGTTTAAATAAAGCACGTGGCTCAGGATCTCGAACAAGGCTGGGACAAGGGCCAGAGTTTTGATCCTGGCTGTGATGGAGGATTGGAAGTTACTCTTGATGAGTCTAGCCTTAAGTAACAGCGTCAGGCAGGGCAACTTGCCTTTCCTTACTGCTAACATTTTCGGTACAGCATGATGGAAATTGAGGGGAACCTATTTGCCATATATATTTTTTTTTCAGGCCATATATATTCTTTTATTTTTTATTTTTATTTTTTATTTTTTTTGGTTTTTTGGTTTTTCTCCGGTACCGGGAACCGAACTCACGACCTTGCGCTTGCCA